GGATCCAGACCTCACTGTATTAAATCAAGACAGCATGAAAAAGGATATGAATGAAAGGTTCTAAGAGAACTGCTCCAGGAAAGTGGAATTCTGCTCAAGTGATTTGACATAATTAAATCAACTCACCCATGTGAGAAGGAGGTTTTTCTGATCAGGAAATAGTTTGGAATTTTTTTTGTTTTGGCTGTGTGAGTTTTTTTAATAGTTGATTTTAACCAACTGGTTAAAAGCAAAGACAGAAGAAATTGTGGTAAAACACATGGCATGTTCTGCTGTTTTTTAAGGGTCCTTGTATGTTGTGTTTTCTTCTGAAATTTATGAAATTCTGAACTTCTAAAGCTCCTGCTCCAGAGAGAAGCAGTTTTCAGAACATGAAACAAAATGGTTATCCTTTAATTCATTTCTTCAAACAAAATTTTGTAGTCTAAGTGTATTAGCTTTGAACATGGTGACTTGTTAAGGGTTTGTGAACCGCTGAGCCTCGTTTTCATAAACAGCTGAAATTTTTGGCCAAATCTTAGAACATGAGAGTAAGCGTTCAGGATCCGCATCTACTTCTTGAAGGACGTGAGTGGACAATGGGAGAGAAGGATTTTAGTAGTCATGGTGCACTGTGGGTCATAGGATGAGAGAGAGGTTTTAACCTCAAACCTCTTCTATCCCACAAGCAGTGTAACTGTACCCATCTCTGTAGGGTTTGGGCAGCAGGGACGAGATTGGTTTTAGCAGCTGCTGGTCAACCACTCTATCAGTCTGTGCTTGCAGCAGGCAAAATGATGCTATTTTGTACCTCGTAGATTGCAGAGCAAAGGCAGTGCCATTTAAAAGAAGCTAAGTGCTACAAGGAAGAAAAAAAAAAAGGAAAAAGTGCTGTAGGACATGCTAACAGAGTCATTAGACTGGACCTGTTCCTTGAACTAGTAAGAAGGTAATATACCAGCAAGATACTTAAGTTGCACTAGGTGTCTGAAGTAGCATTGCTTCCCAGATGTGAAACAACGAGCCCACTAATAGCTGTGATAATGCAAAAGGGGGTTGTAACCTGGCCAAATCTGAAGTTGGATTCATTTTGTATCAACACTAGAATAATTCAGACTAATGAAAAGCATTTTTTTTTCTGGCCTAAAGTGTTGGGTAGGTGTCTGCATGAATTGTCCTTGCACTTGTTGTCCTAGTGTGGCTTGTGAGATACTTTTGGAAGAAATAGGATAAATCATGTTTTGTGTGCCTGTTGTGTATCTAGTATACAGCTATTCAATTTTCTGTGATGGGGGGAAGAAAAAAAGCTCATGAACAAGAATTCCTAATTAGGAATTAAGAATTCTTAAAAGAATTCTTAAGAGTCAAAAAAAGAATGTGTTTCTATCCTGATAGGCTAAGTAGTGATTGATAAATACTATTTTTAGTTGGTATTTAAAGAGGAGAAGAAATTCCTGGGTGGTTACTGTGTGTCTGATATGAAAGATGCCATTACTGTGGCGGTGGTGGATTATCCTAGGAATGGAAGTTAAATGTCTCAATAAAGAAGGACACTTTATGCTGCCTAACAGCTGTTCTTTTCCCAGACTTGGAACTCTGACCTCAAAACTCAGCCTGAATATTAACGGGCTTCAGAAACACTGAACAAACAAAATGAGCAACATTTTGGGACTATCTGGCAAATTCATGTTTTCATATTTATTTTAAAAAAAGAATTTGGACAAAGTATATAAAGAAAATTCTATTTAAGAATAAAATATGTTAGCGGGGCAGCCTGCTCCCCATTTCTATTCACCCTTATATTTTGCTCTAGTCTCTGTTTTCCTCTTCTCCTAATTTATTGGAAAACTTTCCCTCGTCTCAGATCTTCCGTGATTATGCCCGCTGCTTGTCTGCAGACGAAGAGTGCGACCAACAGGCTAACAGGTTCTGGGGTGTGACAGGATTGTCATCCACTGATGCGTTCCTTTTTTTGGTTTTTACACGGTTAGGATTTGAAACAGTTTAAAAAAACCGCTAGGCTGTAATGTCTGTTCCTGCGTGGTTGTGGTGGTGGTGTTTGAAGTTCTTTTTTACAGATGTGCCTCTCCATAAAATGAAATGTCCTGTTGCATGGCGTGTCGTGCCACGTGGTAGGTGAATGTCATGGATCGCTCTCCCGTTTCGGGCAGGGGCAGCAGCCTGTAGGCCTGTTTAGTACTTTAACTCTTAGCACAAGAGCTAAATCATGTTGGATGCAGGAAACGTTTCTTTGAGAAATGTTATCTTTGCTGTTACAAACGGAGCAATGGTAGATGTCGTCATATTCTTGAAACATACAGAGTTGCTTTTTTGTGCAATGTTGTTTTGAAAAATAAGCACTGTGGGGTTCTGGGGGGTGGTTTTGGGCAGGACACTATAAAAGCCACAGAAGTTTCCCCTCTTCTGTCAGTGATTCTCTTTTTCCAGGGATACAAGAAAACAGAGCATGAAAAAAAAAAAAAGTCCATATGGTGCAATGTTTGTTGTATCCATCCATATCTTGGGTATTTACATTTTGTCAGCAGTCATTAAAGATTTTTTTTTTTGGCCAGAAAAGCAGACCAAAAAAGAATAGGAGACCCACCCACAAATAGTATTAGTGACTCACAGGGCCTCCTGCATTATATACAACTCTTACTTACTAGGTAAATGTTTTCAAGACAAGAATTTGACAGTAATTATGCCAAGTTCAGAAGGTACATAGCAAGGATAAAATCAGTAGTCCTTTTAGGAGTTAAATCTAGTGACTGGGGCGGGTGGTTAGAAAATACTTTGCTGGTAACTTAGTGCTACTGCAATTACTAATACGATATTATTGTGAGTTTGTAGAATTTCGTACATGTTTGTGGTCTAAAATTAAATTTCTAAGGTTTGGGGTTTTTTTCATTAAACAGATCCTTCAAGCCAGGAGACTTACCCCAAGCTGGTGTGGTCTCATAACTGAAAGTCTAGATGCTGTGCAATTCCAAAGGAGTGCAAAACTTTATTTGGGGAAATGCGGGGGAAAAAAAAAAGGGTTAAAAGAATGTATTATCTTGCTCCTTTTGTTCATTTTTCAGAAAACTTTGTCTAACCTTAATTTTATGTGCTTTGTATATAAAATGTTCGTGGAAAAAAAAAAAAACCAGACCTGTGAAGATCAGAGCCGTTGGCAGTACTAGTTAGCTTCTAGCTCGATTATTGTTTTGGGGGACTTATTAAATATATACCTACAATAAGAGGACAAATTTATTGCCCATACACCATAAGCAGACAAGCAAATTGTTGGTGTTTTAACAAGAGTCTCTGTTGCTCTTCATCCCTCTTAAAAGAAGAGACAGGAAAAAGGCTTCGGCAGCCTTACTCTGCAGTGACCTTTATTTCCCCGCACTGATTACTGTAGTCCCTGAAAACGGGCAAGGCAGACTGTCTACGAGCGCCAGAAAGCAAGCAGGCAAATACAATGCAAAACCACTGACTTTGTGGTTATTAGTTTATCATGACAAACTACTTAATCTAAGTTTTCAAAATGCCCTGACTTATGAGGCAAAGATGGAATGTGGAAATGTGAAGGAAGCTATGGAGTGGCTTGCTCTAAGCACTTTTTCTCATTTAAATTCTGTGGAAATCCCACTGTCATTGAGTTCTTTGTGAATTAAGCTCATAGCCGCTTTGTCGTGTGCGGCATTTTAATAAGGTCAGACTTAGAAAATTGTTAATTTACTTATTGTCTACTCACTATCGTGTCCTTTCTCTGTTCTAGCAGAATTTGTACAAGCTGTAGCTTAATGTTTGGGTTTTTTCTTTTCTCTGAAGGAATGCAGACACTGTTACAAAACAAGCTGTAGGCTCTTCCCCATGCCAGGGACTGTGCTCAGAGAGATTTCCCAATTGATATTATCAAAACAGACATAACTGAGGCAGGGAGAGATACCTAGCCAAGTGGAATAAGGTTGCAGGATTGCCGATTTCCTTGTCATAACATAAAATTGTAACACGTTTTCTGTTAATGAATGCAAATAGTCAGGTAAGGACTCTCAGAGCAGGAAACCTTGTTAACTTAAGGAAACTAATGAGTTTGTTCTCCTGCCTCCTTGTTTTCCCCACAAGCTGGAGTTTAAGATAGTTCTCTATTCTCATCCAAGGAAGTCATGCAAAGATATGCCGTGACCCGAGTTCAGCTGGGCTGAAAGGAAGATTGTGAGGGGCCAAACACCATCACAAAACCATCATCACTGTTGATCAGAATTAGCTGAGTGTGCTGGGAATGGTGCTGTTTTGCTTATTTTCTGAGCTTACTTCCAGGAGCTCTGCTGGGGCAAGCTGTTAACAAGCTCTTCCTGATCTCATAGGAACACTTTTAATCCCTGATTTTTCTTGGAGCGAGTCCTTAATGTTAAATATAAATTAATTCTATCGGTCCTAGCCCTGGCATAAAAGATGAATCCGTTATCTCAACTTTGTGTGTGGTTAAGATTGCGACATACCTATACTGAAGTACAAACTTACGTTATTTTAGTAGCTCTTTCTGTAATGTTGTGCATAATAATACTATTTTATGATTGATAGAATAGTGTCATAGCTACTTCAGATGAACACACTATGTCTCTTGTGTTTCTGTTTTGCTACTTTTCTTTAGCGCACTCTTAAATCTGTAGTCACTTGTCTGCCAAAGTATTTCAGTGTCTTTCCTTTGTGTGCATAAAGATCTCATTGAATACTGCCCAGAAGTAGGAGTTGGGGGGAGAAGAAGAGTTTATCAAAATGTAGTATCTGATATTTAGAAGAGCACAGGAATCTTTTAACCCTCCCATCCTAGAGCTCTGGTCTTGCAGTTCTTGCACTCTTTCAGTGCCACAGAGTCAGGCTTTGTAGTACATATGCAATCAATGTGCTGACCTGTATTTCTGACGAAATGATGATGAAAATAAATACATAAAAACTTCAAGAGGATGTATCACCAGTACTAAGAGAGTGTAACACTTTTGAAACATCGTATCAGTAACTTCTGATTTGGTTTTGTGGAAAAACTTCACCTTTTCACATTTATTTTTCTAAAAGTATTTCCTTTTGGAAAAAAAAAATTAATAGTGCTTCTTTAAATTATATCTACCACAACAGCATCAACATTTGTAAAAGTTCCAGTACTAAAAACTGAAGTTCCTCCTTTTTTTTTTTTTTTCCCACTCCTTTATTTATCTTACTACTTTATTCTCTTGTCCTTCCCATGCACGTACCTCCCACATACAAAACGGCCAGTGTAGTTTATCTCATTGGGGATGTAGAGCTTAAAAACTGAGCTGAGTCCTTTTGTCCATAGGTGGTGATACAGCAAACTTATCCCGCTGTGTCAGTTAGATGTCATGTTACAACCGGAAAACACCTTTTAGTTAGCAGTACAGAGTGTTAATTCCCAAATTTCATACCACAAAGTATTGAGATATTTGCTGAAGCCGTGGATCTATTGAGATTGGGCCTATTTGTTGTGGCATTAATAGGTAGTAATATGCTGCTCTATCTTTGATAGTGAAGATTAGATGAAAGAAAGACTCTGAGGTTAATTTCAGACACAAAAGGAACAGACTTGGATTAAAAGTAGGAGCTCTGGTACTTAAACTTTCAAGAGAAGACATGTTAAATAACTCTAATCATAGTAATACAGATTTTTGTTCTATACCTATTTTCTTGTGTAACACCTTAACCCAGCTCTATGCTTCAATTTTTTTTTTTAATGTGATTACAGAACTGTTTAGGAATTAATAAACCAATTAATGCTTGGTAGTCTATCCTCTTCTCACTCATGGACTTACATACACACAACTTACAGTAGACACTGAAGGTATGATCGTGTTACAGTGACTATTATTGCTTTTAAAATATTGAAACAATTTTCTTTAAATTTTAGTGAAGGAAATCTGGCCACAAAGCAAGTTGTTTTTCTTCAAAGACCTGTTATGTGGAATTTTGCTGTCCAGACACCAGAGGTGAGTAACATGTTTATGGTATAAATATAAACAAAGTAGTACTTCACATAATGGTTAGGTACAGAAACAAACTAGACTTCAAAGTTAATGGGAAAAAAGTGGCAGAAGAGGGTTTCACTTGCAAAAAGTTCAAGTTTGTGGAGGGCTTTTGCAGCTGAACTCGTACGTTATTTTTTTTTCTCAGAAGCATACCTCTTGAATTAAGCCATAGAGAAAAGCATAAGCATGCTAAAAACCTATTTTGTGCTACGAAGTTACTGTGTCTCAGGTGGCTGAGGCTGGCTATGCTGTAAGTATTTCTTTAGAAGCCTTCAGGAAGTCTTAAATGTTCCGATTCAAATCCTGGATCTGTTGCACATGAAAAAGAAAACATTTTATTTTGACCTCCAAAACGTCTACTTTCAGGCTTGTAGAAGATACAAGTGTCAAGCTGTGCAAGGGATACTGTAACCTGGAGGTTAACAGGGTGAAGGGCTGTTAACTGTTGCTGCATGAAAATGTGTGACAGAAGTAGAGGATTTAAAATTCCTGCAGCTGGACCTCAACAACTCCTTGGCCTTGTTGAGTGAGGCTCCCGTAAGAGTGGTTGTATAAAAGTGCTTTGAGGATTAAGTAACTGGCAGTCACCATGTTCTGCTCAGAGTCAAGGTCACAACAGTTATTGCACCTGTATAGCGCTGATGTAAACCCTGCTGTGGCCAGAGAAGGGTGAACTGGTGGGCTGCTCTTTGCCAAGTCTCTCAACGTCCTGTGATGGGTTTTTGTTACTTCTGTTTTTCAATGGCCATTCAACCTTTTTCCAATCAACGCAGCTTTCCTGTGATAGTCTTAAGCAGCTACGAAAACTATGGACACTTTCACTCATGTTCAGCACCGGAGTAGTAACTTTACGAACCGTCATTCGTGGTATTATATACTACTACAAGGCAACGATGCCTAGTCTCTTCTTTTCTCCATCTGTATAAATAGTTCCATGAGTCTCTAAATTTCTTGCATTCATATTTGATCTTTCTCTGTCCTTTTTACATTCTATCCAGACTGTTACCATCATCTTTATTTTCCTCTGCTTAGTGTTTCTCAAATATACTCTCCCTTTTTTTTCCTGTTCTTCACCAGGCTTTTGCTTTCCTCCAGCCTAACTTCCTTCTCACTGTGTCCCCTGATAATTACTACTTCCATGCCTGGAAGAACTGCATTCAACGTGCGCAGTTAAAGTCCTCTTTCATTTTTCGTCTCTACCGCCATCTCAATTCCCAGCTAGTTCTTGTACACTGTCTATAATTTATTTCCTCATTTACAAAATTTGACCTCCTTCTTTTTTACTCTTCAGTGTTCTGTGTAGTCTCCCTTGCCGATGTCTTACTCTCCTCTTCCATTCATGCCCGCTTCTAAATTCTGCCAGTTCCTCATACAATTTTTTCCTTTAATTTCCCCCCGTGTACCAAGCGTCTTCAGCTTTTAGCTTTCAAAGCTTCTGACCCCTGACCCCATGCCTGACTTTGTAGTCTTTACATTCTTTCCTAACACATTTCTGAAAGTATGTTTTGGAACATAGTTTTGATATCAGTATTGTAAATATATAAAACCTTATCATGTCAGTCATTATCCAGTAAAGTCATACTTTTACTGATGCTTCCCTACTTTTCTTAATACTCTGTATAATAAGGGCGTGGACTCCTGATATGAATACTCTTTCCTCGGTAAGGCATGTTATTTCTAACTGTAAGCATCTCCCAAAAAGCAGCGTAACTACATGACGCGAGTTAGAGTGGTTAAGACTGGGTTCTGCCAAGGGAGGCAATACAAACCAGTTCTGTAAAAACATTCAGTCTGAGGAACTGATGAATCTTTGAGATGTGGTTTAAATTAAAAATAAGAAGCATTATGCTCACTGTTTAAATTCTGTCACGCAATTGTGAGGTGATCAGCAGCTGAATGACCTTTACCTTCTTTGGTTTATACAAATAAAATGGTAGTGTGTTTTGTAGTCATTGTTTTACTTTGTTGTAATGCGAAACCTTTGACTTCAGCATTAACATCCTGGAAGTAAACAAGAAATAGCTGATTTGTAGCCATTTACATCAGGATTACGGTGTTTAAAATGTATCTAAATGTGCTCCTTAAGTACCAGTGAACGTTTTACTTCTCCACCAGGAAATTTCAGTATGCTGAGGTCATTTTAGCATGGGATAAATAGGTAGTTCAGGGTGAAGCTGAAACGTTTAGCAGAAGTAACATTTTCCTTCTGTTTTTCCAATTATGTTGGTTTTCCCCTAAATTTTAATCTTTTTACTTCATTGCTTTTTTACCAAAATGTCTGAACTGGCAAACAGCGTATTATTCACTACGATTTAAATTCATAGATTTGTTAGCAATACCTAACTGGTATAGAATGTCATGCTAGCTTTGCATTGAATAGCTAGATTTCAGGTGCAAAACAAGCTACTGAAATTTGAAAGCATTAACTTTTGTTCTAGAAACTTTAATGAAGACATTTATTTAAAATGTCCCCTGGACATTGACAACAGCTGTACAATTTTATCAAACATTTTAGTAAAAACATTTAATTCCTGCGATTCTGTATTGTTGGGCATGACATCTTCATTTTCATTTGTACTGCGTATCTTTTCATTGATGTTCAAATTACATTAAAGCTGTTCAAAAAATTTTCATGTCCACAACTTAGGATGTTTTTGAAACACAGAAATACTGAAGATATCGAAAACGTTTAAAAAAAAAAAAAATTGCATCACAATTTATGTTTATTTAAGCATATCCTTAGCATATTTGCAACTCGGATACCTTGGAGAAAGCTACCTATGAGAGAGTCAAAATAGGAAACCAACAAGGCTCTTCCATTAACTGAATCTTAATAAGAAAGCTGCCTCATACAGGCTTTCTCAAACACTTAACTACCAAGCCGCCAGGGCCCTGATCACATCAGGGCTCTCCAGCTCTCCACAGTGGGGCGGGGGTCTGGCCACGGCAGGAGCTTTGCCCCCCAGGCAGCTCCGGCTGTTGGACCTCTGTGACTTGCGTTCTGGAGAACAGCAGCACAGGGTACGGGTTGCTTTGGGTACTCAGGATTTATTTTTTTTTTAAGTTGTTGGGTTGAAGTTAGCATTGCCATTTCTAAAGGAAGTTTTGCTTCAGTAAGAATTGAGGGGGAAAACCCTATTAACTGGTCTCTTATTCCCACAGGGTCTCTTTTCTGAGGAGGGTGTATTTTATGTCCTCACAGCTCATTTCTCTGCCTTCTTGTATATTCATGGGATGGTGCGTTATGACCTGGCTTATGATTTACGTAATGGTTCAAAGGCCTCTTGGATTAGAAGGGCTATACTGTCTCAGTGGGTTCTTTATCACATAGCATTTGCTTTTTTAAGAAAATAGCTCAGAGGAGGAGATTCAAGATTGAACCACACAGTGCTTGAGGGTTTTCTGGTTTTTTCTTTTCTCCTTTTTCCTTTATTTGCGTTAAGCAGACCTTTCCATCCTCCATTACGTGGCATCCAGGCGAAGCTTATTTCCTTCTGTTTCTCCTGAGGCAACGCTATTTCCCCTTAGTCTAATTTCCCAATGTCTCCTCTAACAGCTTCCCTAAATACATTTCCTTTAGCCACAAGGGCCATTGTTTTTACTGTTTCAAAAGGGTTTGAGAAAAAAATTAGCAATGTATAGAAGGGGAGCACAGAACTTGTCAGAGCATGGCAAAAACAGTTGTGGGGTGGTTTTGTTTTTAAAGTGTTAGCATTTGTGCAAATCCCCCTGCAAGAGTGCTCGTGTCCTTTACCCAGCAAAACGCAGCTCTGTGCTGAGGCTGGATTCCTTCTTAGCTAGATGTCCTCCTTCTGTGGATGGGGCTGTGTCCCCTGGCAAAGCATCTGCTGCTTCAGCAGCACATGTGCTGACAGCAAGGCTCCAGGCAGAGAGCCAGGGCACTTCGGCCTTCGTGACCATGCTCCTCTGTTGTGACTCAAGGCACTGACGCTGCCTCTGGGGATGCTGCATCGTCACAGATCTGGGTACCTCGGGTAGCTCCTGATGCTAAAAGAAAATAAACCTTTTATTTATTTGTAATGCCTGAGAGGACCCTTAGCGTAGTCTGATAGGTCTATTGTTTGCATAATTCACAATCTGCTTACTTTTCTTTTTGACATTGGCAGCCATCACTTCAACAAGAAGCATGTCAGGAGATCCCAGTACTAATATCAGACTGTATTTATACGGAGTTCTTCCCGGTCTCTTCAGAGCCCCTCTCAAATCGCTGTACAGGACAGCCGCTGACTTCCATCTGTGTAGATCCACCATGTGGATTGAATGCAATTCTCAAGACACTTGCCTCTGGCCTCCTCTGTTATCTGAGGAGGCCTCTGAAGGTCTTTATGGGCGGAACTGGAAAGATGGGAAAGCATAGCAGTCTCGCCATGAGGTGGATCAGTGGGAAATCTTCAGTCCTATGAAGTGGTCAGATCACACTCTTAAAAGAGCTCAATGTTGATGGAGTTTAATTCACATCTTTATCAAATATTGCACACTTGCTGAAGCTTCTAGACAGGATTATGTTTGGGGAAGCGATCAACATCCACTGACTTTCAGAGCAGCTTGCAGATGAGGGCACCAGCCAGACATTGGTGGCATGTAGACGTGTGAGTGAAGGAGAGCGGGCATATGCCTACAGTGCTAGCTGGAGATGGTGGAGCTGTGTCAGCTGCGTACCCGCCACCGACCGGCCCTCCCACCCCTCCAGGCAGGGGGGGCCTCTGCAGCTGAGAGGAAGCTGATAGCAGGAGCTGTGCCACCCTCGAGCATCCCTCCCTGCAGAGCACACGAAAGGCCAGCACACGCATGTGCCGTATGGCAGAAAGCATCAGAGTCAGGGTACGTTAGACGTGTACGTTAGGCACAGAAATCATGCCTTCTTCAAACTGCTGATTTTAGCATGGGCTGAGACTTGTAAATCATTCCGGAGCTGCCAAGCACTACGTAAGAATCGAGCGTTGTTGGAGTACTTTTTCTTAGCATTCATTTGTGCTTTCTTGGATCTTGACTATGTCTTGTATCTCCTTTGTCCCTCTTGAAATTTATTTATAGGGAACAAAAATTTATCTGTTGGAGGATTTTTCTCCAGAGGAGTTCATAGTTTAAACCAGAGTGTTAAATGCTGCTTTATGATAAAATGCAGCTCACGTTAAATCCATGCGTGACTCATTGCAAAGTGTTTGGCTTTTTTTTTTCCTAAATAAGCTGACATTTAAACATCTTCTTGTATTTCAGAAGAAATCCTTAAGACAAGTTATTGGGGAGGAAAAAGGCAAAGTCTCTAGCAGAAGTGTTGGATTAGACACAGCGACTTCTCGCCCTGTAGAAACCGGACAACCATCTGATGAGTTTCACCTCTCTCCTTCTAAACAATGTTGGGTCAAGGAGGGATCCTCCCAGTATGGAGGCTTTCCAGGGTTCAGAAGCAGTGATGGAGTATTAAGGGAACTGGATGACGGACAATTTGACCAGGAAGATGGAGTCACTCAGGTCACATGTATGTGATAAAGTAAGTAACTGCATCAGATGGACATGTACATAATTCACACAAATGTTTAAAAAAAAAAACCATACTACTTTAAATGCATCGGTATAATCCTATGACTTTTCCCAGACTCATTTTGTATTTTTGTCTGTTTCTTTGTTTTGTTAATCCTACTGTAGGTAATAATACTACTGCAAAATAATTTGGTTTTCTGTCTCTCTTTAATAGAATAACTACATGACTGGGTGCTCTGCTAACTTGTTAATGCTTTTGACAAGCAAGAAAGCAAATGCTGCAAAACAGTGACTGTTTGAATTGTGTAAGAGGGAAAGGAATGAGGATGTTTAGTATTTTCCGCAAGCTGGAGGAGTGTTTCTTTTCTTTTCTTTTTTTTTTTTTTTAAAAAGTTGTTGTAAATACTGGTGGGGAAAAAAAAGAAAAATGAACTATCTGGCTGTTAAGCTTTAATGTAATTTTCGCTTTACTTGCCTTGCATAAATTCAAAAGCCTAGAGAAATGCAAGTCTTACACTAGAGTGTTAATAATTTAAGCTACGTTCAGACTCGGTATGTACAGAAAACCTCTGGAGGCTGTAGGCAGACACTTGCTCCTGTAATATAACTTCACCTATGCAGGTTTTACCAGGGTTCCTTGTACATCTAAGCCAAAAGCTATCCGAGCATATAGCTTGTATACTGATGTATTCACGATTTACTCATGAGTGGAAATTAAGAACCACTCACAGTCTGAAAGGTAACTTGCAGTCTATGAAAAAGCAGTTTGCGAAACTCGCCAAGAAGCATTGACAGCAAGGTGCACAATGATGCTGATTATATATAGGAGGAAGAAGTAGGCTAAACTTAATAGGCAATGTTAGATGATAGACTATATACAAATACACTGATGTATATATAAAAAATTTCTCAGCTAAATGTATCTCACACTGGGTAAAGTGTATGCAACTGCATCAAATACCAGAAGGAATGTTCAGAGGAAAGGAGGAAGCTGCTGTGCTTCCATCCTCACCGTGGGGAGGAGCTGCTCGCCTTGAGGGAGGTGAACACCGGCAGGGCTCTGTGGGGAGAGGCGTGAACAGGAATTATTTTTATGCTGCTGTCTTGAAATTACACTTTACAGAGAGGAAGCTGAATAAAAGTGCATCTCCAAAAGATACTGTGATTAAAAATTGCATTTTTCAGTTAGTTTTAGAAGCAAAAACTACAAATGCTCATCACACTTAAGCTAATGGAAAATAATTTGGTCAAAATGAGAAATCAGAACAGAACTGAGCAAATGTATTCACAACACTTGTCTTGATGTTTGCAGTACAGCGCACACATCACCCAGGGATTTTGATACCTGTCTGTGTGTGGTGTACTGCAAACACTGAGAGAAGTGTTGTGAATACATTTAACTACACCACCCCGCTCCCCTGGGGTGGTATCCCACCAGCTGCCGTGGGAGTCTCCCTGTCCACAGTGGTAGTAGATGCTGGCACTAAACGCAGTGGGCAGATTAATGCAGTGGCAGGAACACCAATAACTGACTCCAAACGAGCACCCCGGGAGATGACTGGGACGGTGGAAGTCAGACTGCGATCTCCGTGGCGGGGAGCTGTGCAGAAAGAACACTGGCAGAAGACGCTTATTTCAATAAGCAAAAAGTAATTCATGAAAGAAGAAAGTTACACTTGCTATCATAAGCGAAAGTAGTACAAAGCCTTAGTGCTATTTCAGTTTATTTTAACGAGGGGGGGGGGAGGGAAACCCTTTCTACTTGCATGATTGTCATTGTGGGAGCTTGAAATGATTATTGCTTTGGAGGTGCTTCCCAATTTCATTGTGAAATTGTTGCAGGCAGGCTTGTTGTTTATTTTTCACTTTGGAAGAGCAACTCTAACAACTGTTTGTAGCAGGTTTGGGTTTTTTCAAAAAAAAAATCCACAGTCCTGGAGCTGGAGACATTCCTTCAACTGTTTTCCTATTGCACGTTGTTGAAAAGGGCAGCTTCTATTTTCTCACTTGAATTGCTTAAGAAAAATGCCGGCAGCCTGGCAAAATAGTTCCGAATTGTGACTGTTTTAAGAGCCAAATACATGCCAGTAGGGCAGCAGGAGGACTGTGCACACCGCGGGGAGCGATGGGAGCGCAGGAGTACCTGTGATATAGGCACGGTAAGAAATCCATTCTTGCCAAGGCTTCTCTCCCTGCTTTCCCACCAGCACCTCAAGGTCACAGATGTGGGGCACGAACCTCGCCTTCATTCCCTGTCTGGGGGGCATCATGTGGAGGAGGATCGCCCCGCTAATGGAGAGAGTGCTGGGCTGGGCGTTCCCCGCGGAGCCTGACCCAACCGCGGCTTTCTCACGCAGCCCACTGCTCTGTGGGCAGTGGTCGTGGTCACGCGGCAGCAGGGATCTCCTCCGTGGAACGCAGATGTGGGGGAAAAAAATATGAAAATACATGTTACATCTGTCTCTGGCAGAAAGCCAAGAAACTCTAGCATATTAAAAATGGGGTAACAGCTGGCCTTGTGCAACTTGGAATATGTTGCTCTACTTCTAAAAGTTATTTTTCACGAGTTGTCTGAAACTCTCGTGTGTGTGTGTAATTTTAACTACCGGTGGTTCTCCATACAAGTCAAACCTGTAAAAGCAGCAAAAATTGGTCAAAAAACCTAGGAATTCTGAATATTCCAAGTTAAAGCTTTTAAAGCATATCAAAGAAATTACTGACCTTTTATAAAGCGGTATCCCTCCTTAAGATGGTTAACAGTAGCAAACCCTAAACCAAAACTGAACTACAACTATTTATATAACAACTTACAATGTATAAAGTACTAAACTGAATGCAGTTAATCTTTCTAGAATACATTTATTGGATAAAAAGAATCATTTAAGTGAGATCTTTTCATATCAGCTGTCAGGAATGCAGAAAATTCAAATAAATTAGTATCTTCTTTTAAAAGAACTTTTCCCCTTACGATTAATGGGATGTACACAAGGGAGATTCTGTTTTGGAACAAGGGTGGAAATTGAGTATGCTCTGGATGCCCACAGGTATGCTCTAGAACATCCCCACTTTTAGCAAGAAAGGCTTTTCTTCTTAAAATGAAATAAAGCCATATTCCTTTTCAGTAGCCCACGGTTTTAACTGTGCTTTAGTCTTTGCCCTTGAATCTTACAGGTGTTGAGTGTGCTGCAAACCTCTCTGAATTTCTTTCTAGTCTCTCTAATTTGGTGTAAATGTGCTAAATTGCTTCCCCTGAACCCACTCAGCAATTCCTAGCTAGTTAAGGACAGCTGGTTTTATTTTAATGCCATTTGTCTCACAGTATGTAAAGTTGCCCCTGCTGTAGAAACATTAATCTAGCTTGTTTTCCTAGCTCTCTATTGTCTTTTGCCTCACAGGGCTACATTCAGGCTCTGTATTGAAAAAAAAAAAAACAAAATACAGTCCTTCACCTGGGGAAAAACAAAGTCAACCTGACAGGAGCCAAGACAGAGATCTGTAAAGTGAGTGGCATGGAGAGGGTAGCAAAGGAATAAATTCCTCAGCATTCTTTTTTTGATACACGAACTCAAGGGAATCATGGAGGTGGTAAGTAGCAGGTTTGAAACAAATCAAGGTACCTGTTCAGCTAACTGTAGAACTCCTTGCTGCAGGATGCTGTGTATAAAACTACATGGATTTAAAAGGTGACTGAAAAATTCCTGAAAGGAAAAAAAATCGCCCTGTTCTCTCTGAAAGTCATGGAACCAGAAAGTGTTGGACACTGTGAAAGCCGGTCTGACTGCCGGCATGCTTATTCTGTTCTTCGGATTATTGTAAGCACCGTTGCTTCATCCCTGGTGGGCACGTAGCAGAGAGCGTTCTCCTGCTGCAAGGCCTTCTGTCAAAAATCAGGGAGAGTAAGTTGCTTGCTCAGCCTGTGTGAAGACTGTGCAAGAATTAGCTGACTTCACGCGCTAGCTGATGGACACAGAATAAACCACCCGTCTTCCTAGGGCGTGGATGCTGAAACAGAAGTAACTGAAAATGCTTCTAAAACAAATGATGGAAAATCTTCTTTCTTCGTAGTTAAAAATTCTGAAAGCCAACTATATCCTATTTGGAAAAGTGAAAAGGGGAGGGTGCATTTTGGGTATAGGGGATTCTAGTTTAAGCTACTTGTTTCATCACCTGGTCTTACACAAACTAGAGCATTGAGGTATGCCTTTATTAGTATTGTGACCAGCACTGTCCATTAATTAAACTTAAATCTGTAAATCAGAAGAGCTGTCAGAGTAATTCTGGCAAGATTTTTTTGTATGCTCCTATTTTACATATATATATATATACACACACACGGTTCAGTTTTCATTTTACCAGACTGTATTTTACATACTCATCTTTTTATTGAAAGAATGGCGAATCAAACTTAAAGCACGGATGTGTTCTCCGACAGAAAAAGTAAGTACACTTATTTATTCAGTAACAGGGCTTCAGTTAGGAGGCTGTGTGTCTGAACTGTAACAGCAAAAAGTCCCTTACCTGTATGTGACAACAGAAATGCCCTGCAGCTATTAAAAAGAACAGAGAGAGAAGGCAACCAATGCTGTTCATGAACCTCTGCAAAAGACTCTTTATACTTTCAGATTCTGAAATTGTTTGGAGAGGAAATACTTTTCTAGCATTTACAACCAGGGAGAAGCTATCCACCGTAAAGAAAACTTTGTGCTCATAACTGTCAGGACAGTTTATTTACATACCCGGTCAACTGCAATAAACTGCTGCTTAACTTCTGTGTTTCCGGTCTGTAAAATACTATTTTCTTTCTGTAAAGCTAAGATCTTTTCTGTATTTCTGATAGGAAGCTTCTCACCATTAAAAGCACTTACCACATCAGCTACCAGTTTCTTTATTATGGTTGTCTCACGCTGACATTAAATGGGTTAGATCAATGTATACCTTTCCTCAGGCTAGAATTACCTTTTTGCAGTCTTGTCTGTACATCCATACAGCTCACAAGGCAAGGCTTGTTAGACTTACCGCCATCTATTACAAGCTGATTAGGTTTTCCTTGTTCTTAGTGTATTGATCTGTGGAAGGTAAAAAGTGCTGTCTTGACAACTCCCTGTGGCTTAATTTAGAGAATGGCGTTAGTTAGGGTTTAGACTTTTCAAAGCCAAATTCCTGTATCGGAATTTCGACAACCGGTATTGCAATTCAAGAAGCAAACATTCCTGACTTCAGGTAAGCGTAACTTGAAAGAGACGAAGTGGCTTAGAGGAACCGGTCTGGTGACATGTTCCGATCTGTTTAAGCAGATAAACTTTGACAACATCTGAGAGAATTACAAGGAAAGTGGCAAAATCGCCATAGCTGACTTGTTGCAAGATATGCTAAGCCAAACATCAGGAAAAACCTCAGTGACTAAGGAGAAAGTCATTCGAAAGTTATCCTTTGCTTACAATATGCCCTTGCATCTGTGATGTGCTGTCATCGTGTGCTTATTTTGGTATCTGAAAGGTCCTCTTCTAGATCTCCCTTACTCTTTAATTGTAGAACCATCATTTTCTGATTTGAGAGATGTGTAAGTTTGAGGTCTGACTTCAAGATGCTAATGAGTATTGTATTTTTCTACTTTTGAAAGAAGAAATACAACTTCACTTCAGCACACCTTGTAGCAGAGATGGGAGAGCACCAAACTTTCTCTTGGAAGCACTCCGTTGCCTGCATTCTCAGACGACATGAAAAATGAGAATCGCTTACCAAAATATAGCGGTATGGATAAAGAAACAGTTTAATTTTATCCTTCCTTTTTTTTTTTGTTACAATATAATTCAAAGACAGTCTTGATTTCCCTATTATGTAGAGTCTAAATTAAACCTGTTAATATTTATTAGACAAATCAACGGTTTGCTTAGGCTAACTGAAGTTTTATGGTACCATTCAGGCACATGTGTGTACACAGTACTCATGTAAACAATAGCAAAGGAAAATACAAGCAGTGTTTCACTTAAGCCTTATATAAAATCAGCTTAGTATAGCAAGTCAACTTTACAGTGCAAATCTGAATGAGAATAAACAGGATTAAAACGTCCCGAGTTTCATTTTGAAGTGAAACTCTTAAAGCATAAGAGGAAGAGAAGAGGTTTAAAAATTTAATGCAGTCCTGAGCACCACATCGTGTTCTTCAATTTTGTAGAGGAAATGTAATTAGCGACACCAGTTACATGTTTTTGCCTGTCTCAGTCACCGTGGCCAATATAAGCACGCAGCGTGACTGTACGAAGAACCACACCATGGATGGTCCAACAGCAGACTGTAACAAGACTAAATACATTGTACTACCTCCAGAATACAGTCGTCCTACCTGCAGTACAAACTTCAAGATATCTATCAAAAATCACGTAACCTGGTCTATACAAGGCAAGTTATAGCTAAGTGTATAGACAGTAACTAAAGCTACTTTCACTCGGACAACATCTCATGCAATTACCCTGCTGACAGTTAAATACAATGACAAACGTGAGACAAAAAGAGCTGCTGAAGAATACAGCTGTTGAAGTACTTAAGCTTAGTCTCTCTATTTTCTCATTGTTTAAATTCCCTTTACATCCAGGTGGTACAGTTGCTTGAGGTGTGCTTGATTCATATAAAGAAAAATAGAATTTAAGGCATGTTTAGTGTAGTATGAAAAAGACATTAAAAATAGGTGGACTCCCTTCTTTCCAAGTAAGTACAACTTAGAAAACAAAGCGTAGATTACAGAAACTAGCCGAGTTAGCCCGTTCTGACCTGCTTAAAGAAATAAAAAGAGGGCCCCTGGCAACCTCAGACAGAGACAACCAGCAAACTTCTTAAACAGCTAAGCAAAATTCATTTAACGTAAGAACACTGCTAGTGCTTTTAGACCCTGCATTCACATACGCTTAGCAGTATGTCTGCCATATTCATCTCTAAAACATTTAGTTCTATCATTCTAGACATAACACAATTAAGCAGCACTCATGGAAATTGTCAGTTATTGCAAATCTGCAAACACAACTTGAAATAAACATTGGATAGGGAACAGAAGCATGAATCCAAATTTTTCTGTCAAAGAATGTAATTCAGGTGAATGAAGAAAAACAAATTAAAGTATGTTGAAAATACGATTAATTCTTGTGAAGAATCAGGTTCAGTATTTCAAGTACTTAGAATGTTTTTACTAGGAATATAAGCAAAGACTGTGCTAGTGTGTTATGTAGTGTAACATGAATATTTATGTGAGGTATAATCTGTAAGCAGTTGCCGTAAATATGCACAGGTATAAGCCATTGACTTTTCTGCCACAGTTATTCTTTAGAGAAGTTGTGGACTGGAGAACAGCAGAAGTCTGCCTTAACAGGACAGAACCTGTCCCCTGCTGTGCGCAAACCTCCACTGTTAACAAAAAAACAAGTCCAGAAAGTACGTTAGATGTATATCAAGAATATATAGTTCAATAGCATAGTGAAATTATCCTTTTGGTATTAGTAATACTATAGATCCTATTAGTATTTGGATATACACACAGAGGAATATGCACATCCAAAAGTAAATCTTTGAAGCCATCTTGAAAAAATAAAAGCTAAATTAGGAATACGCTACATTGCAAGAAGCTTCCTGCAGAATTATATATTTAAGGTGATAATCTTTGAACTAAGACTTAATATAGCTACTGCAAAAATGGCTTGCTGTGAAATCTTAATCTCACTTTTTTCCCACCCAATCAGACACATCTTCAGGATTGTGATTCAATGATTGTTTAGCAGCAATTTTAGAGAACTGTAAATTCTTTTATTAACAGGCATCATAAACAGATACTACTACTTTTATTTAAAAACCATGAGTGCCACATTGATGAATATACAGCTCATGAATAACTTAAAGTATTTCCCATATTAAAAGGCAATGCACACGGCATACAAAAAGTATACTAAACAAAGCTATGAGGATACGTGATTGAAGTGTCTAAAATGATATATACAGTACATAATTAATGTTTTGTTTATATTCAGTACAGGCTTCTGTACTGCCATTCCCATCATGCCTCACTCTCCCCTGACACTGAATTCTGCACTTCTTCTTCCAAAATTGGTACAATCAGGTTATCCTTGGACATCAGATTATACTTCATCACAAATTTAGTGAACCGGTGACACAAGAAAGTTTCATTCTGGAGATGAAAAAAGGGGAAAAAACAATATATACAGAAGGAGTATTTTCAACAATTGAGGAGAACATACTAAAAAGCCTCCCGCTTATATGTGATTGCCTCATTAGATTTACAAGTCTTAGAAAGAAGTAGTAATGCTTAAATGGTAAATTTATATTACTTTTAAATCTTTCCTTTACTGCTTGCTTATAGTTACTGCAATTAACAAAAAACCCTACTGAAGTTCAGGCTTGAGTCACAGCTCAATTCAACAGCACTTAGGCAAGAATATATTCAAATATCACTGTAGTCCCAATCCACTCTCCAAAAGGGAATTTTAAGGTATTGTGAAACTCCTCCTACATACTCTATCCCCAACAGAACGGGACACAACCATTCCATAGCTGTTCCAGCAACCTTAAGTGGGATTTGGCAAAGGTTTCCTTTTACATCCAGCTATACCCCTTATCTCCTTTCTATCTATTAATTTATACTTTTCCATTAAGAAAAGTTGGAAGTTACTGGAGGTGCACGCGCTGCCACCAGTTACTGTTTCTTTGCAGTTTTACAATTACAATTCCTTAACTGTTGGGTAACATACACAAACAGGAAACATACATACATAAGCAGTACTAACTATACCAGGTGCTTGAATACATTCAGGAATCCTTAAAATAAGATGAATTTGAGTTGTTTATACAAAACCTCTCAAATTCTGACCTTTTATCCAAATCAAGGGAAACCATAACTCCGTAAACTAATTATATAAATCAATTTTCATTTATATATATGTATGTATAACATAGCATTTCAGTTCTTGTAAAACTGTAATCTACTATAATCAATACTTCACTTGAATGCAGATCTTCTGGTAGGATTAAAAGAAAACATGTAATACAATTACATCACAGCTATAACTTCAGTAAATGCCCTTCTTTCAAGATGTAATTTGAAATGACTTACTTCATATTCATCAAATATCTGCCGGTGATGAAAATAAGCATGTGAAAATATTCTGTAAATCCTTCGGCACACTGATCCTAATTTGGCTACAGAGGATTCCTTTATGCTAACCCTGTAAGCACCAGGAGAAAGGTTAAAACACGTCTACCGAGATGACTATGAGATACATCTTGATATGAATTCTGATTGTTAAACTAAACTATATAATTGCATATGAAATTTAGACTTAAGTCTTGCAGATACCTGTGTCTGCAATTGCTTATTTTTGCAAGGAAGATAAAAATGTTGGTGCATACTCCACACTGATTGTCAGTTATTCTGGTAAGGGCTGGACTTCTGGTTTCTAGCACTGATGGGCAAAGGGAAAAAGACTGCCAGTTGCACCTCCTTGCCAATACTGGATTCCTAGGGAAGCACAATTTTGACTTCTCCAGTTAGGTTTCCATGATCCAACGTGTGGGCTGCCCATTCAACATATTCAGTCTCCGTCTTCCGTGGTCACTGATGTCCCACAGTAGATTGGTGTTGGCTTCTGGAGGCTTCCAGGGGCATAGTGTTTAAGTCCTTTGAGTCACTGCATCTCTCTAAAGGCCATCATCCTGTTATTTAGGTTGGCACTACTCCAGTGGAAGCCCCCTAACACCAACAGATATTAGTAAAATGGTTTCCACCTAAAAAGAGTGGAAGAGCTCCAGTAAATGGCAAACTATTTGAATAGGCAGGAATTCTTCTTTGGCTTAAAAGTGACAATAGCTCTACCAACAAGTGATACATGCTGCAGGATTTCTGATATTTTCAGTAGTAGTCCATGAAAAATGCATTATGCATTTCCACATGCTTTGTAAGTGTTTAGGTGCCACATCCTCCCTCCCTCTCTCCCTCCTCCCAAAAGAAAGCATTTTTACCTGCTGGGAAAATATTTATTGCTATTCAAAAGACATGCAGCTCCATCAAGTGTGTGTCTGGTGTAGTCTATAGCAGGACACTACAAAAATAGACAGTGAGTGAGCACATGTATGAGTGCTTGCAGGACATTGTCATATAACTTGTTTAAAGAAAAACATTTTAATTATGTTTCCTGATGCTTTTAACTTCACCGGTCATTTTTATTCCCAGAAGTTTCACGTAGCTTCTCTGAAGGTCTAACTACATTTCCTCCGTAAGTGAGCCATTTCTTTTCTCTGTTTCACAACCCATGTAAATTATTTCAAGAAAAAAGTTACTATGGAAATGTGATTATGCACGTAAGTAGTGAATTTTATGCATCTCCTTAAGTAAAGCTGTATAATAAGAATACATACCGGATAGTACACTGAAAGGAAGGACGATCATTACCTCACAGTTCATTTGTTTCCCACATAGTGAAGTTGCCAGACTCTTTCTTTTACAGCCTAAATTAACACCTTATCAACAAAAAACCCAACCAAAAAAACCCAAACCCAAACCTGCACCTAAGTATATCAATGCTTTCTACCTTGGCAAAGAAAAACAAAATCATTAGTGTAGCTAAGTGCACAACAAGCCAAGCCCTGGCTCTGCAATCAAGTACATATAGAGGAGAAGGAAGAAAGTAAAGATGAACTGAGACAGGCTGAGAGCAGGAACGTCTGTCCGTTTTGCCATTCCCCAGTTTCAGGAAGAAGACTTTTCAGTTACACATTTTTGTCAGCAGTTCAAGGTTGCATCACCCACTATCTGACTGCTAGTTGATAGCTATTATTGACATGGAAAACAGCAGATGAATGATGCGTGTTCAAAGATAAAAAGCACTCTGAAGTTCTCCAGTCTAGCTGAATAAAACAGACTTACTGCATGCCAATATACTGAGTGGTGATGAGGGTTAAAGGAGGGAGCGGGAAAGAAGTTGGCCTTCAGAGCTAAATCAAGGCATCTCAGGAAATTAAAATAAACAAACAAAAAAAGTTTACAGGACAAAAAGTATACGGTTAAGAAGAACAAATACCTTATTCTGGAAGGTGAAATACAAAGATAAATCTGACAGACTGCACTATCACCATAACCAATAGCAACAGGGAAAGATCTTCTGAAGGCAAGAAAAAAAAAGGATGTATCAAGTGGTTCGATAGGAGATCTGAACAAAGTTTAAAGTAATTGGACACTCAGGTAGACAAGCTACTGCCGTGCTGATAACCCACTTGACATGAAGTATTTTTATGACTCCACTGCCTTTTAGGAGTAACTTCCCTAAGAATGTGCACGTCTTTTCAGAGTGTCAGGCTACATGCCTAGTGCTATAGACCGAGGCCAAAGTTTGAAGAGGACAGCCTATTCTTAGCATGTACTCTTCTTTCAATTGAACAAAGACCTTTTTCCATTGAGTTTCAGGCTGTCTCAACACAAATTAAGAGAGAAAAGAGGGGAATGTGCAAAGTTTCTAACACTGTGGTAAAAAGCAGCTCCTTCCTATCTCATCCCGCTCTTTTGTAAACCACTACAGAATTGAAAAGAAGGAAACCTCAAGTGATATTCTTAACCCACATAAGCTCTCAGTTTGACTAAGAAGTCAGCTATAATGGTCTCCCCATGAACATATGAACTGTGAAAGAAAATCCTACATCAATGGGGTCAGTTTTCCAAAATACATCCGTACCTCTTTGGGAGTTTTATGAGCTGCACAAAGAAAAATCCATTGTTCAGTTGCTGTCATCTGAGTACATGTGTCTGGGTGACATTCACTCTGTTAAAACAATTGTTCAGTTATGAAAACCACCCAACAGTGAAAATCAGCTGATCTTCTCAAATCACTTTCTTGCCCCGTCCCCCACTAAAAAGGGTTATTTGCCAGAAGTCTTTAAAACGCTAAAAAACTCTTACCTCAAACCACTGCTTAAGTCTATGCGTATAAATTTAGAAGAAGAAAGCTCTGCAAACTCTGCATCTTACAATACAAAAAAAGTCTCCTTCCTGATACAATACAAAAATATCAAGAAAAGAATTACCTGAAGCTTGACAGCTAGTCCATTGAGCTCCAGGCAGAATTGTCTAAAAAAATTTGAACACAGCAGCATGAAAATCAACAATTGGTTTTCCCACTAGAAACATCTAATACAAAACAAGGTTATACATTCTGATCTTCACAGATCTCTTAACGTTTCTGGAAATGATTCTTGTAAAGTGGAAAAAATGTACCAGAACATGAAAAAAAAATCGTACTTCGAGAATACCACCAAATAATTTCAGCTGACGTCACACCTAAAAGGCAATAGGCTAGGAATTAACACACTATAAAAGGACTACAAGTTGACAGAAACAGAATTCACACCAGCATATTTTTTTTTACTCAGCAGAACAATTATATTTTTTAATTCTTACCTGACAGTAGAGGCTGAGCTTAACAAATAATTTAGTGGAAGTGTTTAAGATACCAACTTTGTTATGGAAGAAAGTGCTTTCACAAATACAGATTAAAAAAAAAAAAAACACTTCAAGAAAAATTAATTTCTTAAGAGTCTAAGTTTTAAATTCATATAGCTGGATCATTCCATCCTTCTAAGATATACTTCCTCCAGACCAATTAAGTGGCTAAAGTCCACCACAGATCCTTAACAGAGTGGGACTCCTAGAAATACTGCTTTCACTAGAATGAACCTGAAAGTGCATTCTTTAAATTCACCCCTCCATCCTACAAGAAAAATCTCAATAGATTTTCCAAAAGTGACAAGTATTTAGTGACAAGTCACTTCTACGAATCTACAATGATTTTCAGTGTATGTAAAAGGATGGAGGAAATTGTTAAGATGTGTCTTTTGCAATTGTACATACACACTTTTTCCTCTTTTGAGGATTCCCCACATCTATTGCAAATATTCCAGACCAGAGGAGAGAAAAAGAAAATGGGAGGCAAAAAGTCAGTATATATAAATCTAGGAGTAGCTTAGAACTATTCTTACTCTTGAAAGTATATCTGACAAAGTTAGAAGACACACTTATAAGAAAAAAAATCAGGACACAAGGACACTAAAGTAATGCCAGGAAAAAAGGATTAATACATACGTATTAACAGGGTGTAAACCTACACTACAACTGAAAAATACTTTCAGGCACAAACTACCTAGGCTGAACATATTTTTTATACTGCATAAAACAAACTGAGAGAAGGGCAAAAAGTTTTGAGTTTCATTACAACTAGAAAAAGAACTGTAAGACATAGGTACTCTTGCTTTCCCAGCTAAAGCCTGTTTTCCTGCAAGTTCCAGAAAAAGCACTGGGAGCATCTGGAAATCACATTCCCAATTAGTGGAGATGAAGAACTGATGGTACTAGGAGAAAGTGCTATGGAAATTCATGACTATATTTTCATATTCAAAACATACTGGTACAACTTTTGAAGTGAGGTACGAACATTTCCTTAAAAAACATCAAAAACACTAGATCAGAGCGCATCATAAATCTTTAGAAAGAAACAAGGAATTCAGAAAACAATACCAAAGTATAAATATATTTAATAGTAGAAATACCAAGTTTCATTTAAGTTACTTTTGATCTGTCCTATTCAAAAAGACTCACTACCACTATCAATGAACAAAACTCAGAATCTGGACACTACGTTGACAAAAGGTGGATTCTTACCTTAAATGTTCATACTTCCATACACCTTCATCCTGGCCTTCAGGAGGTTCAAGGATCTTATCAATGTTGGAACAGTCTGCCCTTATGTTTTGCTGAATATACTAGGAGAGGAGGAAAAAAAAAAAATCTAGATCTTGTTGTAATTACAGTAAGACAGTATATTTAGGACATTACATCTTTGAGGGACTGACTTACTTTTTCTCTTTACTTAAGAAGTGATTGATGGACTAAAAAGTTAAAGAGTAGATGAGCAGGGTAAGAAAATTGGTATAAAAAATTGGTATAAAAAATGCCAGATCTGAAAAATGCCTTTCCTCAATTAGAGAAGGTAAAAGAATGGGTAAATTTTACAGCTTTTTTAAAACATCCTTCTCAAAAGAAAAGAACCCCGCAGGAACCCCACCGTTTTCTTAAACCTGATTTGTTTAAACCAGACACGGGAATTCTAGTTATTCCTGCATACACAATTAATCATTTCAATTGTTTTAATATACTTAGGGTGCTTATGAAATTCATTTCTGCGCAGCAACATTCTAAGCAGATAAATAGCATGCCCTGTTCCCTGTTTTTTTACCAAAATACTAAACTTGGGAAACAGAGAACTTATTAACAACATTTCACATAAGTAAGAATACCTGCTGACCAGCTAATGTACTATCCATTTCTTCAAAGGATTCATCAGGCCAATTGTAGAAATCCTGTTAAAAAAAAAAGTTTAAACCAATTTAACAAAAATAGAAGGGGAGGAAGAAAAGCACGTAACCTACAATAAGCTTGAACATGCAGGAAAATAGATGTAGAGGTAGTTTATACAATTCCAGGAAGCTACATCTTAACAGAAGCAGCACACAATCTTGGCAAGAACAGGGTGAAACGGGGCTTAAGCTCCTAATGTCACAATAGTAGAACATATCGAAATGAAAGTTCTGTGGGACTCGGCATACTATAAACACCATCTCTTCCCCACATCTTGTTGTAACACCTATGTAGCCTGTATTTTTTAAATGAAATATTTGCATGCGGTGCCCATTTTACATGTTAGACCATGTAAGAATGGGGAAGAAAAGAGGTCTGTAGAGAGTAGCATTATACAATTATTATTATTAAAGTAAAAATCCCAGTATATTCTTGTAATAACACACCACTGAAAACGTCTTCTCTAAACTGAGATGATATAACGCAGTGTTGGCCTAATTTGGTACTACATTCTCTTGGTATGGTCAGTATGCTGCATAACTGGATGGTTATCAGTTCTGCTAACCCACGGTGTTTAGTGTTGTTAATTATAAAACCCTCCTGAAGTTTCACCTCAGATCCAGCTGTACTGCAGCGTTATGCAGCAATTCACATCTGGTGCAACTATGACAGTCCCAGATATATGCATTTTCTTACTTTGCATTTTTCACATCTAAAATTTAGTGCTACTCCCTCTTATTATCCAGAGATATTGCGCATCAGCCTCCCGTAGCCATCCTAGTAGACACAATGACTCAATGAAAACGTTCCAACTGTAAAGCTTAGCAATCTGTTCTTGAGAGAATACAGGCATCTCTAGAGAAAGGAGTTAATATCCCATGTTGACATATCATTAAGTAATTGTATCTACATACTGAATAGCTACACCACAGTGTCATCCCAAATTAAAACTTAAATACAGCCACAAAAAAAAAAAAGATTGCATCACCATACACAAAATTCTTCAACCTACATGAATTTTGCAATATACTTTATAATATTTGACCAAATCTAGGTCTATGTCCAGCTTACTGTTTTTCAGAATACCCCAAATTTATCAGAAGGCACACAACATTCCGTTTCCTTCATAGATTAAACTTCTACGGAATGAACTGATTTACAGGGTTGTGTAATAATTTTACCTCTGTACATTATGACAAAGAATAGGAGGAGAAAAGAGATGCATTTTCCTACAACATCGTGTCATATACTGCTCTGTTTCTGACCAGGAGCTCTCCTCACAAAAGCAGAGTGAAAAAGTCGTGCATAAAGGCCTCACAGAAGATTACATCTCTGAAATAATCTAAGAAACGCAGCTTACATATTTGAGATATACTTTTCAAGATGACCTTGAAAGCCCAGAAATAAATCAATTTCATTTTGATTAAGAGAAACGATTGGACAACAGCCCGGGTTCACTGTGAGAGGAGCGCAGGTTACGTAAGGGAAGGATGACTTATCCCTCCAGATGAACAGGCCAGGTATCGCCTATCTGACGATGCAGAACTCCCAGCTGAGGTCTACTCGTATGATGACACAGTGCTCTCACTCAGCTAGTTATGTATTTAGTATTTTAATAGCAACAGCAGTAATACATTGACACGTATTAGAAAAACAGCCCTGTGCCCGAAGAAGGCCTAAGCTCTAGGAAGCAGCGCTTTGCCTCAGCTAATACCCAATGATTTCACAAGCGCTCGCCAACGCTACCGATATTCCCGGCACTGGGAGGGCACAGCCGGTAACAGCCATCACGCTCCGGGACGCAGCTCGACCCCAGGAGCGAACTGGACGCGACGCGACTTGCGCTCCCGAACCGAAGCCTGGAAACCCCGGGGAAGCACGGCGCTCGCCCC